GTTCTTGATGATACAACTTTTTAATGCACCCGTATCAAGGTATGATGCTATTCTAAATACATTAACTGATGTTCGATAATCTTTTCAATATACCGTAACAGTTTTCATATTTTTCATTCCCACGATCATAAATCTCGGTCAATAGTCAAATATGTATTATGCCAATCTTCGTTTTATTAAAGGGGGTTAATTAAGCTTCTTGTAACGTAAATCTTTGGTTAATTAAAGGGATGGATTTACTCGTACAACTTTAAGTATAATTTTAACTTGAGCCCCACAACTTTCTTGCCGGTGGTTTGAGATCATTAAATGCTTATTTCATTGTGATCTGATAATTATTTTGATACACATCATAAGATAAAAAGAAATAAAAGCGGTGAATAATAATAATTAATTAAAAGAATGATTTCGTGGATATCTTCTTTTAAGATCAATAGTACTATAATTAATATTGGCCATAACAAAGAAAATTTTTCTTTTTCTTAAAAATATTTTTGATTTTTGACCTAGTTAAAAATTATATCAATCATTTTCAACTCCAAAATCATTTATAAAAATGGTCTCTGCTACTTCACTCAAAATTCTTTTTCTTTTTCTTTTTTTTCTTAACAGTCTTAACTGTAAAGATTGTGGAAGGCTTTCCTCAGTTTGTTCCTCCTTGTGTTGGACTACCTGATTGTTTAGGTTGCGAGTGCGTATGTGCGCTCATTGGCAATAAAAATTGTCAAAATGAATGTGCTCCTTACTGTAACCCCTAACCAATAAAAAATTATGCATTCCATAACTTTCTGCACAGTTTTTTGTCACAAATTGTCAAAACGTTACGTCAAATTTCACTTAACCAGAATCTTTACAAATTAACAATTGAAAATTAGTGAATAATTTTACAGTACCTTTATTTAAAATTCCGTTTTTTTTTTATATTAACAATTAATTGTTATTTAAAATAATTATGTTTTATATATTTATTTATTATATTTTTTTAAAAATCAATTTTTCTAAATAATATTTGACTATTATTATTATTTATTTTATGTTAGTTGCATCAAATATTATTTTTTCCGCGCTAAAACAAATACATTGTTCTTATCAGAAATAAAGTCGAAATAGATAATATAAAACTTTATTTTCATGTGACAAAACAAGCGGTTTATCACTCTTTTATCAATAATAAATTTGTCCTTTGTTAATTTTTACATTTGTTACAATGAATTTCTTTATTTCTTTTGGTAATAATAAAATATTTTCTTTATTTTATTAATATTTATTCTATAAAGAATTTCAAATTTCTTTGAGGTATCAACAACATTTTTGTCTCTGTTCATTTTTCAACATATTATATCTGTAAATTCAAAGATTAATAACGTATTTGTAACATTCGCCTCGATACGCTTTGGAGTTTTGAAAAATCCTTATCTTTTATAACCTTAAATTATAGTATAATTACGAAAGCAAACAAAGTGAAATGCAATAAATACTGTAAAGCAGATGAAAAAATCATTTATTACTTCCACTAATAATATTTCTAATAATTTCTGGAATTATTACTGTAATTGTTTACTTTAATTTTTCAAAGTATATAGAATATGAATATTCATTATTCAAAAGAAATAAGGGATAAAATATTTTTACGAAAATTATGATACTATTTGATATTTTTTTCTTTATAATATATAATTTGTTTTAGAAATGTATTCAATATATGAATGAAAATTCCAATATTTCACGCAAAAGATAATTATTATAAATTATGCTGTACTGATCGATGGCGTATTTTATTGTATATAATATTTAATGGTATACTTCGTATATTTAGGAAATATACCAAATTGTTTTAAATATTCATGGTGCATTTTGATTGTTTAGGATAGATCATTTTAGGATTGTAAACATGGAATATGATCAGATGTCAGTTTTAATTATTCACAAGTAAGATAAAATATATCCATGCCTACTCGGTACATTAGAAACTTGATTTATTTTATTTATTTTTATATTATCAGTTTGAAGGCCTTAGCCGAAAAGTAGTTGTGCATAAAATGGATCCTGTTAACCGGTCAATTTTTTCGTGACATGAAGTCGGCTTATACTGTATCTATAAGAATGTACCGGAATCATAGCAACTATAGATATTTCGTTGATTTCTTGTATCATGATAATTTTTTAATTCATATTATATAGTATGTCGAGTGGAATGATAATTCGCAATCTTTTTATGTTTAATATTCTATTAAATATACCAAATCCATAATTCTAAAGTAATATCCTTTAGAGTATATAGAATCAAATAAGTGAAATAACTTTAATACCATTGTAATATTTGCTGCGATTATCCATTATAATTATAAAGTATTTATTGATTTTATCGATTGAGTAAAAATATCAGTCGAAGACCGATGGAGTGAAATAGCTAAGGATCTAATGATTGGATGAAAATGTGTCACGTAGTGGCCATTTTCACCAATTAATGAACGGCCATGTGAATTGTCGTTCTTGACTTCCTGCTTTACTATATCTCTATATCTATTATTTATGATCTTGGCAAATTTCGTACTACTGTGTGAACACACTATTAGTATTAGAATATTGTCGATCGACATTGTAGCATAGCACAGAATTACAGATTTGGATAAAAAGGGAATAAATAATTTATTCACCTCCCTCTCCCTCTTGTCGCTCATAATATGGCATGTTCAAAAATATTTTCGGATTTACCTGAATTAACGAACAAAATTATACAATATTTTCGTAATGATTTATCAACATTATATTCATGTATTTTAGTTAATAGATTATGGTGTCGTATAACAATTCCATTATTATGGGAGAATCCATTTTTATATTATCCTATTGAAAATTATCATTTTATTGAAATTTACTTAAGTAGTTTAAGTGAAGATGATAAAATGAAATTAAAAGAATATGAATTTGACATTAATCTATTTTCTGCGAATACTTTATTTAACTATCCTAGTTTTATTAAATGTTTAAATACACGGGAAATTTCGGGTTGTATTGAAAACTGGATTACAAATGTTAAGACTTTAACAACTGAAGAAGTTAAGTCTTTACGAAGAAGTCATGAAAATAAACAACCAAATTTTTTGAATTCTGCAAGATTAATTTGTAGATTATTATTTAAAGTATTCATTGAAAATGAAGGAAATTTACATACTTTTAAGGCCGAATTAAGTTTAGACAGAGATTGTGATTATTTTAATAATGCTATTGAATTAATTTTACAAAATCCAAACTTCATTTATACTGTTGAAAATTTAAGATTTAATATTTTTAATGAAGAAAAATTAACAAATTTTGAATCCTTCTTATCATTATTATCTTCTAAATGTAATTCAATTTCAACACTAGATTTAGAATTTAATCGATTTGATTTATTAATGAAAAATGTATCTCTAATTAATTCAAAATTTCTTAAAAAACTTTCAATTCGTTGTGGTAGTATTCCTCTAACTAATTTGTTATTATCATTGAAAAATTCTAATTGTTCAAATACTTTAAGTACAATCGTGTTTTATCAAATTAATTTTTTTAATATTAATAATATTTTTATTCTTAATGAAGTATTTGAACAATTAAATGTTTTAGAATCTGTTCATATTATTTATTGTCAATTAAGTTGTGACTTTATTAGACAAATTATTAATATTAAGAACCCATTTAAATTAAGATCTTTATTTTTAAATCAAATATTTGACATTAAAATATTTCAACCATTACTACAAAAATTTGGTGAATATTTGGAAAATTTTGGATTTGCATTTAGATGTGTGGAATTAGACTTATTACTTGAATTCATAAAATATTGTACAAGAATCAAATTTTTATATTTACCAGGATTTGATCAAATTCTTTATCCAATATTTTCTTTAATTCAAAATAATGGACAACACCTTAATTATATTTCTATTAGTTTTCATGGTTATTATATGGATTATTATGTTAATGAGTTAACTAAAACTACTTCAATCGTATTACAAAATTTAGGACAAATTCTTCCTTCAAAATTAAAATGTTTATATTTATATCTTTATCGTATTGAAACAAGAGATTTTGAAATATTTTTAAAGAATTCTCAAAATACTTTTTTTGAGAAATTATTAATTGATAATGAAATTTCAGATAATCAAGATCTTTTGCCTTATTTAGAGGAATATATTGTGAAAAAGAAGCGGGTCAAGTATTTAGCTTTTGCTGATAGATATATTGATTTGTTTGATTTTATTGATGAATACAAATTATATAATGTTGAAGTTCAAGATTGTAGAGAAATTGATGTTTATGATTATATAAATGAAAATTATTAGAAATTTTCATTTTATTTTTAGTGATTTATATAATTTTATTTGTTATATTTTACATAAATAAAAAAAATTTATTTTTTAAAAAAAAAAATATTAAAGTCGATAATTGATAGCCATTTCAGCAATCATTATAACACAGTTTAATAACGATAATGAATAATTTTAAATAATGTCTCAAAAAAAGACAATAAATTATTTAGTACTTCTAATGAAGAAATTGTATAGGTGCAGGATAAATCTGTGTAAGAAAGAGAGAAACCTCCTACACTCTTTCAATTTTTACTTTCTTATTTTTATCTTTGCAAATAATTGTTTGTAATTGATGGTTGATTGTAAATTATAAAACTGGAATTGGAAAAAATATGGATCCTTCTAAAATTTCCGTTGAAATATTTTTCTTTGCTATTGCTTGTTACTTCACACGTTAATTGAGCTGGAGATCATGACACACGTCTTTACCTATGATTTATCATTTTTTCAACATATTAATTACTTATGAATTGTGGGCAACAGTTTTCTAATAAATTGGTTATAACATCCAATTGCAAATTCTCAAAGAAATAATCATTAGAGATATTTATTATAATAGTTAATTCTAGAAATAAATATTCGGATAAACAATTCAAACCTGAACTCTATGGTTTAACGCAGAAATAAAGATTTTTTCAAAAAAAAAAAGACCCAGTGCAGGAATTGAACCCGCGTTTCCACTTTGATAGTGTGGCGTTCTAAACAACTGAACTAACTGGGTGATTGTTTTGATTTTTTGTTGGTTAATTCATATTTGTCATATATCTTAACAAAAACCACATCACTTAAATTGAAATCTGTGATTAAAGATTTTCCAGAAAAAAAAAGAGACCCTGAGTAGGAATTGAACCCTATGATACTATCAACTCGTTTTATTATTATGAAAAAGAAAATATTGAAAAAATAAAAAAGTTACAAATAGTATAAATAAAGTTGTTTAAATTTTACCATAATCATTAATTTCAATCGAGAAATATCAAATTTGTTGAGCTTTTTATAGATAACAAGAGCTAATGCCGAAATTTATTGGTGAGGAATTTCAAAGATGGAAAATTTTAGTTATTATTTTTTTTAGATCACAAAAGAGTATTAAAATGAGCAAAATTAAGTTTATTCTATGAGGAACTCACAACCTTTACCAAAAAAACAAACTTGTGAATGTATTGTAAGTATGGTGGTTTAATTCTTAACTAAATCCTGTTCCCTTTTTAGTCACTTTATAAAAAATTCTTATTTAATATATTAAGATTGTTCTTAATCATAAATTGACGTATTTTTTCAAAATAAGCATTTTAGGCGAATCATTTATTTGCAAACTAAATATAAAATAACATTAATTTGATATATTAGACTAATATAATGTCAAAAAGGCTAATTTAATATTGGTTTTTATTATTCTGTTTACTCATTCAATTAATTTTATACAATAAGTTTAATGAAAATTACATAAATTATAATTTAAAGTCAATAAAAAAATTTTTAAAATGTAAAAATTGATTTGAATATTGAATTTATTTATATCTTCTACTAAATACTAAATACTAAATAATAAATTAAAAATTAATATTATATGTTTCCCAAAATAATAGCTATTTGTTTCAGAATGTTTCTCCATACACCTAACAGCCTTTTGTATAATGTTTTATTTGTCTTGTATGTTTCTGACTATTTGTTTATCTGTCAATTTTACACATTCTATTCCTTATTTTGATTTATTATAATTTCTCCTTGTTGTTCATAATTCAAATTTTTTCTGGATTCACTTTTTTAGACTTTGATAAATACTCTAAAGTTGTAAATTTCCTGTTCTAGATTTCCTTTTAGTTTGTTTCATCCACGAAAGCAATATTATTTATTGTATGTTAGCTTATTCATGTTTTTGTTATGCCTATTTGTCCAATCATTTCCATATCTTCTTCCAATCCACATAGCATTCGTCAGTAAAGGAGCAATTGTCAATGGTAAAGAAATAGTTGGCAAACACAATGCCTGTGCGACATAAAAACCTATATTTAACTCTGGAACGTAACCACTTTTTTTTTTATCTGAGCCTATTATCACTATAAAGTACACCCGTCTCCACTTTTACTTCTATTACTGCAACCAGAAATGAGTCATTCACACAAGCTGATGAAATTAAAAAATGGGATACAGAGAAACTTATCAAATTTTTAGAAGGGCGGGCTTAAGTCAGCTCGCTTTGATATTCTCCATGAAAAAGAAGTTTCTAGTCGAGTTTTCTAAACAGCTGTAGCTGTGGCTCTTTGCTGGTTTCGCTAAGGAGTTTAAGGAGAAAAGTTGAGGTCATTCTCATCATACAAACCCCTAAAAAACTTGAAGGAAGTGTTAGCAAAGTATGGAGTTGATGGTAAAGACATAAAAAAGATTCCGCCAGGTAAGTCAGGAAAACTGGTTATACTTTTTACTTCGCTCGCTGGGAAGTATTACAATTTCTAAACTGTTTATTTTTACTTTGCTCATAGAAATGAAAAAAATCAGTGAGGATGACAAAGTCTCCCAATATTGCATAGCGAAGATTAAACGCAAAATGGAAATCATAGGTTCAGCAAAATCAAGTAACGAGGCCATACGTTGTTCATATATTGAGGTAATATTACTTTCTGCCATATTTATTGTCAAGGGAATTGCTAGAAAGAGAATTTCCTAGAATCAGTCATTGAGCGACAGGACAAGTCGATTATGCAATCAAAAAAATAATAGATTTGTTAAATGAGTAACTTGTTGCATCACTGAAGAAAAGCAGAATCAAGAGGTCTTGAACATTATGCAGAATGTGATGCAACTCGAAAGCTCCTACTACACAAATAATAAAAAATGAAAATCATCTAAAGTTTTCGATGATAGTCTCTACGGGATCATTACAACAGGTGAGACCAGAGGATTTTTTTACTTTTCCTTCTCTTATGTTTGGAATGAATTTAGCTTAACTATGATATCTTATCATCCACCATGAATAGGGTTTTTAGCCACTGACAGGTACTTTATAATATACACATTTATTGCACGAAAGCCAACTATCACATCACTCTTACTGAGGATATTTTAGAAAATGATGAGGAGCTTCACCGGGGGGTCAGTGTTAAAAAGGTTATGGAAGTGATCGTGGGTTTGTTGAAGGATAGGGTAGAAGTTGATGATGCACCAGATAATAAAAGAGCAAGGATGAAAAAATTTATTAAGGAATTAGTATGCGGGTCATAGGATAGAATTTAGTCATGTAACGTGGGCTAAGTCCCGATCTTTGTATTTATTTTTAACTTTATAATGTGTATAATTCAATTATTAAATCGTAGTTGTTTTAAAAATAATATATTTTTCATGGCCAGCGATTAGATCTATTAGATCTACTGTCTGACAAATGACCTCCAATGACTATTTAATGACTTCATTTTATTATAAATGATTACTCATCAGTGATCAAACTACGATCAACAGAACTAACACAGAACTAACATACAGTATGTCAGTGGCTTGATGAATTCATAGAACTCAGATGAAAAAGAAGCAAAAAATGGACGAAGGATATAATAACAGAGTTTATCGACAAGTTCAGGTATTACGTTATTACGTTATTTCGTTATTTTTGTTTAGCTGTCTGTTCATACATTTTTTTAATAAGATTTTATGCTCAATAAAACGTCTTACATAGATATCAAGAAATCGTGATCCCGTATGGAACAGCGGGGATTACAGTGACACTACCTGGACTTCCCCAAATCTCAGTAATCACAATATGGGACGTTGTTTGTCTCCTGTGGGGATACCATATCAAACGGAGGAAAATGTCACGGGCTTATCTTCTCCAAAAGCAAAGACTCCTGAACAAAATAATCATGACAATGGAAACAGACAAGAAGGCTCTCCCAACAACGACAAACATCACGTATTCGCCTCGAAGAAAGACGATCACGAAAAAATCACTAAAAACAGCAAAGGAAAGACGGAAAGAAAAAAAAAGGCAATCCCAGTTAAAAATGACCGTGCATCATTACATGTTTGGGGCGTCAGTCCGCAGTGGAAAACAAAAGACGCTGACAAAAAGGATGATATACGACAACAACAAGCAGATAGCAAACTCGAGAGTAGAAAATATACCAGCATTGCAGTGGTGTCATTCGAATGTTGCCCTAACAGAAAAAGAATCCAAGAATTTGAAACACCCTTGGGGGAATTGTGCCGAGTCGGTTCCGTTGTAGGTACTTCAGGAACTTTAGGAACTACATGGTCAAAAGAGCAACCGACGACACCGTGCCATCTTGTACTCCCGGACAGTTTCCTTACTAGAAGAACCGGAAATCAAACCCCAATGTCAGAAGGTAATGGACTACATGAATCATCACATGCACATAATAGTTCGATCATGGCAGTCGAAAAGATCAAGAATGAATATGACCGTCATCGTATTGCAACATCTGTTGGACTTGATATCTTGAGCAAAGAATCATATCATACTGAATATATGGAAAGTATTAAAGAATTTGGCTTTAACCACATCATTATTGTGGGGGAACGTGACTATGGAATGCTTTTTCTTGACTGTTACGGTCGCATGTTTGAGTGGGACCATATTAATCTTTTATTATGGCCACTTGGGAATTATTTAGAGAATAAACCGCGGGTGGCATGGGGTGTAGAGTTCGACGGGACCATTACTGAATTTGAAGTTGGTACGTGTGAAATTCGCTTTTTTTTTTTTACTTTAAACTTTTTTATAACTATTTTCTTTTTCTTTCAGATGAAAATTAGTATACACAAGTTATATGTTCTGCATTATCTTATGAAGTAATCTATCTATTGTAAATTTGTAATGTATTAAAAGTATAATGATGTACAGTATCTAGCGTATCTTGAATAAATTATATAATAAAGCTTTACCCATATCGAAAGTAAAAACGATTAGCCGAAAGGCATTGAATTGTTATTCAATTTAATTTTACACGGTTGCTATACACACTCCGGAACAATTATTTTTTATAGATTCTAGCAAAACCCGTGCAAATCTTATTGTTCTGACTCACATGACTCACGACCTATGTTTAGAATTAATCTTTACTATATTTACAGGGAGTAAGCATCAAATAGACTACTATTACGAAAAAAAGGTTTGAAAATCTCCCTATATGCAAAAAATATCATGAGGACCTACCTGATTGGTGAATGTGGATGTCTGTCGTGGCAAGAAAATAAAAGCAGCAAACAGATCATGCGAAATTGTGCGATATCGGAAAAATTCATGCCGAAATAATAGGGCATTATTTTTTAACTTCGTTATTACAGTTCTTCCGAAGCTTTACAAATAAGCAAATAGGAACAGCATACTCACGACGTGTCGCAGAATGAAGTGTCGGCTGACGAGATCTTTTTTTTCTCTCACGATTAGAGAAATATACGAACAAGTCTTGGCTGAGAATTTGCAAGGAAGAGTCCGCCTTTTTCATTTCATTCAAAGACGGAACAAAAGTCTATTCACGTCAACAGCCCCCTCAATCACATGAACAGGACATTTTGTTAGCTAGTACAGCTTCGAGAGAAGGAATATGATAACTTCGCCAGCTATACTGTATCTCTGACCATGAACTATGTAAGTAGGCAGGACTAATACCTGGTTTCCATTCCAGGGTGTCTGTATAATAATATAGCGGGTGTCAGTGGGTTATAGACTATAGAGGTAGATTATAAAGGGTGGGCCATAGGTAGAAT